TTTTTTTTTGTTCAACTGCATATGGCAACAGTTTTTTTTTTCTTAAAAAACAAATATGACTTTGAAAAGAAAATAAAAAAAAAAAAAGAAAAAAAAACCTCCAAAAATTCTCAGTCTTCATCTTAATTTTTTTCAAAACAGAAATTATGCTAAACTTCACTTTGGTAGGTTTTTTTTTTCATTTTACATCAAATACAAAAACACTGAAGTGTGTTCAATTGTAATAAACTGAACCTAAAATGACAATCAAATTCTGTAATATCACTCTTCTCGATACAACAAATAATATACTGTTAAGAATAATATGGTTGATACAGCCAAACTTCGAGATGACGATGACACCGAAATTTCTGATGAATACGCTCGAAGCACTATAATTACCACTGTTATTTTGATACCACTTAACAAAAAAAAAAAATTAATAAAATTTTACTGACTCACTACTTCGATACCGTAAAAAAAATTATTTCTTCAAAAGAAAAAAAATAAATCTGTTTTTAAAACCTTTATGAGATGACGGTGTAACATAACGATATTTAACTAGAGGCCCCTTATGAGCCATCTCAGACCATGGATTCATTCTCAATTCTATCAAAACCCAGTCAGAATCACTTTTGAAGGTTTTCCCAATAAGACTTTCAACATTGGCAGCGTCACACGGTATTCTAAAACACAAACATTAATTTCTTGAAAATTCTAAAGCTTCTAAACCGTAACAGAAATATAGAATGTGTTTGCTAGAGACTTCAAGAAGTACAGACTGCATAACTTACGGATTTGTAATTTGCTGAGATCCCCAAATGTTAAATACGTCATTGCAAGATTCAGTTTGGAAAACTTTTTCGGAATCAAGATCAAGATCTTGTATTGAAAATTCGATGTAGTCTGATGGCGGTGCTTTGATTAACCATTGACAGAATATTGGACCTTTTGTTGGACGTGGATAAGAACTAAAAAATATTTTTAGGAATTTCCATGCTAATAAAAATTCTGTTGTTCAGTTATTTCATAGTCCACAAGTATCTAATGCACTTCTTAAGTGCTTTGAAAAGTTGATCAAGAGTGATCTACTAGTAATATTGAAAAAAAACCTCAAAGCAGCTTGAGATCCCTTGACAACACCACAAGATGGATCGTTAAAGAGATGCTGTTTCTGTAAAGTTTGGCATCTGTCGCCGGTAAACCCGTAACCACACTCGCATTCGCAACTGTTCGTCACCGTTCCACCATTTTCGCAGATCAATGTACAACGATCTGTAAGACAAAAAAGAAAAAGAAGTGGAAGGATTACTTATGACATTAAGAAGCAACAGTTTTATTGCTACAATCTACTTGTACACGCATTATAAGTGTTTCTTCACTTTCAGTAATAATTCAAACAAACATTCTTAGAAACACATTGAAAAAGGTTCAGAGCAAGTTTATTATTTGGTGGTTACATGGCATGCTACCCAGGTTAAAGCAGCATAAAATATTGAATAAAGTGGCAGAAGACGGTGTAAGCAAACAGTTTTGGTTATAACAATAGATACATTGCTTACAAACAGCTTATTAACATCGACTTAAAAATAGCTAAGCTCTAAGACTAACAAATTTTGAAAACTGTAAATTTATTTTGAACAATCAGTAGATAATTTGTTGTTGTCGCCTAATAGCTTTGAACAAAAAACCTATAAATATTCAAAAAATTTTTGTCTCCCAGTTTTTCCAATAATAATACTATTTTATGCATTTAAAAAAAAAACAAAGAAAAAACAAAATAGAAAAGAAAAGAAAAACAGGAAAGGTAACTTCAGAAATTTAGCTTCTACTCATTCATTCAATAGATGACTATTTGACCCAGAAAAGATCAAATTTCCATGATCTTTTCTTTTTCCCATAGAGCAGTTCAAAACCTTGTTTAACCAACACTGAAGCCTCTTGAATTCCTTATATCACGCAATAAAGGCCTCACCTTATAACTTACAAACATTGTAAGAAAAACAAACAGTAATTCCAGCGGTTAAAAACAAACCAAAACATGACAAAAAGAGAACTTTTTTCAAAAAATTTTTCAAAAGATTCTTTAATTATTATTTCAAAATTTGCAATCTTCGGAAGCTCCTCTAAACAGCGAACAAATAAGAAAAATAACGTTGAAATATATTCCACACTTTATTATCTTGAATGACTTCATTAATCGCTTTCTATGCCCTATTTTCCCATCAGTTTTTTTTTTTTTGCTTTGCCAAAAACAAAGACAAAAGTGGTAATAAAGTGAAGGAGTAAAAGAATATTAAAAAAAAGAGACTGCCAAATAAGAAGGTAAAAATAACTAAAAGATGAAAGAAGACATTTATTGTTTAGATGCTGAATAGAACGGCAGAGGATTTTACGGTGATCAGTAAAGGTATAATGACCAGCATCGAAAAACAATGAAAACAAGGCGCAACTTTTTTTTTCATGCTCACATCGAGCACCTTTTGAAAATAGATGGATACATACATAAAGTGTTCTCTGAGACTTTTCTTTTTTTTGTATCTGTGTGTATTAGTAGGAGTTTTGACCCAGAGCTTACGACCCGATGAGAATGGCGTAACAATGCAGTTTTTCTTGTCATAAAAAATTCGTATTCATTCAAAATTGCTGTCATCAAAGAAACAGCGATCACCGGCCAAAAAAACCTCCAACGATCTTTAACATTCTAATTCAGCCATCTTTGTCTTGAACTCCTCTGAACTTTACCGATTAATTTATTTTCTTAAGCATATTTATGGTTGTCGTTTTGCGCTATTTATAATTTTTATACCTCATTAAGTTCTGTGCTATGTCATCTTCAACAGTCACCGATCTTGACCAGCACGTCATTTAACCTTTTGTTCATCAGACGAACAACGAAGATGACAAATGATTAAGCGTTTAAAAACAAAAAAGAAGGAATTTTTTTGGCAACCCCTGACGGCTGACATATATTTCAATATTTGAACGAATGCTTGAATGAGTGGAAATCGGATGCTTATATGCTTCAAAAAGAA